CATGTGATGGTGTGTAATCTGGCGGAGAAGAGTGATGGTGGACTGGTGGCGGTATTCGAGCAACAGGACCAATTTTCCTGCCAATTTTCAGCAGACAACAAATTCCGATAGATCTTCAACAATTCTCGCAAGAGAGTGAAAGTTGCGTGCTACCGAAGTGGTGACAGAGAGAACAAAGTTCGCAGAAAAGGGAAGAATGAGTTAAATGGGGTTATTTATGCGAAGAGCATTACCGACTACAACCACCTTTAGCGGCGACACATAACGTGAAAGTTGCGTTTCGCCGTTAATGTCTATTATTCTTGTAGTGTATGTGTATTGTGTATATATGTTTTATGTATACGTAAATATTTGTAGGCATGTTTATATATATATATATATATATATATATATATATATATATATAGGGTTAGGTTATAATGTGGATTGACAACTATTGATTGGACGTGTGGATAATGCTATTTAAAAAAATTATTAAGACAATATGTTATTTAGTAATGTGAATATATTCAATCTCACAGAACTATTGTTATTTTAATGGATTCTCATCAATTCTAATTCATTTTTTTGTTTGCATTTATCGTTTTTTATTTATTTTAATTCTTACAGAATACAACTCAATAAACATTCTGATAATATTATAACAGAATGAGAATAATTAAAAAAATGTATAATAACATTATAGATGATTTAATTAGTAAAAATGCTTAATAATTAAAATAATTATATAAGATTGAACGTATTCATATTATCAAACAACATATTTTCTTTGTAATTCTCACAGAATAGTATTATCCACACGTCTCCACAATAAATGTCAATCCATATTTTGAACTTTTATATATATATATATATATATATATATATATATATATATATATATATATATATATATATATATATATATATATATATATATATATATATATATATATAATATAAAGAAGTAAAATTTTTGAATTTTTATATGTGCCGAAAGTTCTTAGTCAATTTCTAACAAATACCTAAAGAAGTAAAATTTTTGAATTTTTATATGTGCCGAAAGTTCTTAGTCAATTTCTAACAAATACGGATAATACCTAAAAAGGTAAGCTAATTTTATTTTGCCGTTTTATATATTCCATCGGAAATTGCTGACGGATTTTCGACAACTCTATTGTCCGGCGATGATCCATCGTAGAATTACGGTTTTTATTTTCGTCACTGGTCTATTGATATTCCATTTGTAATTACCGATGGGCCTATTCTGTCGCTAAAATTTGTCAACAATTGAATTATTGCAGGCTTTTGAATTGTAAATCAATTTGTTTTTTTAACAGCAATGTCTTTGGAAATCATACAGTACTATAATAACCATCTAAACTTTGCCACCGGCTAACCTTAAGATTGTACTGTCTGCTGAGTGTTTTGTTTAGTGGGTCCAACAATAACCACACACACAACAGACGTAAAACCACCAAAAGAAAGATAGATGGTTTTCCGATCGCAGTGCATGCTTACTCCAAGATTGCGAAAAGGCACTTCAATTTTCATCAAGAATCACATACTGAATGGTAGCTTATTAGGCATTTTAGATATTTCATCGTTCTTTATTGATATTACCAGTATGCATGCCCTGCCATGCAACGGACTGGCGACATAACAGAAACCCACAACTTATTCTTAAACCCTAGCCCTAATTAAACCTAACCCTAGCATCGATACCCTAACTACTTTTAATCTTTCAGACCACCAAAGCTTTTAATTAACACTTAAAACAAAGATAACATAAGTCAAAATTGGACTACGGATTGCTGAACTGATCATCTTCTTTGACATCAAGAGTACTCGTGGTGGTGGTGACCGGGAAGAGTTGTAGGGTTTTGGGTGGTACTCTTGTGCAACATGGAGTGGTACCATGACGATCCATCATCATCATAGTCACCAGTGGGCAATCGCACATGAGGTTGCAGGTTTGAGAAGATGGGAGATCCCTCGTCCAGTTGTTGACTAACGTTATACAGCTTGATTCCTCTTCAACTCCACTAACCTATACCCATATTACAAACATAATATCATTATACATGTAAAAGGAATAGAAAGTGGGTTAGTCGTTTCATTGTTTTATGATGTGATATTCCTTCCTTCAGATTATTTTTGCTAAAAGATAACCATGTCTAGGAAAATTCTTATACCTGATGAAAAGGAAGAGAGGGTTGATCATGAGAAGGGTAGAGGCGATGCTGTTGGTACAACGTCATGAGTTTCTTTCGAAGCTTTTGTCGGTCACGAGCTTTGTGATTTTGAAACCAGTAGAAGACATTTTTGCCTTGAATTTTGCCGTAAATTGATAGTCTTTCTGTGATTTGCTGTATCTGAGTTGCCGATGGAGTTTTCAGACCGCCTCTGTACATTCTTTCTAACAACATCACCTGCTCTGGAGTTGGACACCACCTGTTTCTACCACCATCGCCGCCTCTTGTGGCCCCCTTCACAGGCACCGATGACATTTTTTACTCTATATGGGTCTTTCTAGAGTCTTTTTGTTTTTCTAAAAAGGGCAAACACGTGTTGGTTTTAAGGATATTGTCGACTAAAAGTCATATTTATAGAGAGGCTAATGCCTGGGTGGATGACTTCATGATCCTCAGTTGCTTGCATGAACTTAATTTCTTGTCGCAAATGGAGTGAATCGGTTGCAGCCACGCAATTTTTTTTTTATTTTTTTTTTTATTTTTTATTTTAAGTTTAGATGTAATATATTTTTATTTGCGGAGTATTTTAAATTGGACATTTAAAATAAAAATTTACTCTAATAAATAAATGTTTTTATTATCGTACGATAATATTCTCATTCAAATTGTCAAATATGATTTTATAGTGAATTAATTATTTTTACATGTAATTTTATTAATTTTTCTACTTTATTAAATTCAAGATAATATTTTAATGTAATAATTGAAATAAATGTAATAATAACTTTTTAATTTAAGAATTCTCAAATTAAAGCTTATTAGTTTCTTTTCTTTATTTGTTTAAATTATTTATTTAAAATTAAAAGATAAAAATATTTCAATTATAATAATTCATTAGTTTTCTTAATTTTTTTATAAATTCAAAGTTTTCAAATATTTTTACATTTATATTTAACTTCTTTTCTAATTTACCACATATAATATATGGGTGTCACAACTAATATATATACTATTTTTAAAAGTTCAAAACCTAAAATATAGATTATTTAAGTACGTAATATAGGTTTAATATTGCCTTAGTTTTATATTAAATTATTTTAACGGCTTACAATCCTAAGGTTAAAATGTCACTAGCTACTAGAAAAGCAAAAAATAACATATATATGATAATTGCCGGTAATTTTCGGAAGATAAGAATTAATCAGAAATAGTCGTACGGTGACTAAATACTGAAAATAAATATATATGAAATACATGATGGATTTGAGATATATTTGTGACAAATAAAAATTAGGTAAATTACATGAATGATCCTTTAAATTTCTACTTTTTCCTGAAGTATTTCCTAAGGAAGTTTTTTTTTTCCCCTCAGATGGTACTTATAGACGTAACCTTGAACGCAAACGGTCTTTGGGTTGGATGTCCATCTAAAAGAATCATTTGTGAACAATTATCCCCCCCCCCCACACACACACACACAAACACACACACATCCACCCAATGCGATCGACCATAGTATCGCCGGATGAAGTACAAGACCCATGTCTCTTTTGATACCTCCATTGATAGCTTCGGCTCAAACATCATCAACAACAAACATTCAGACAAACTTTTGCTCATGTTGTTTATCTCTTCGTTCTCTTCTTCAAAATCTTTGACTTCTGAATTTGACTCACATGCTTTGGTTTCTTCAACATCTTCATCTTCAGAAATTTGTTCTTAAGCATCCTCCATTTCAGAATGTACTTCTGTTTTCTCATATTCTTGATTTAATTCTGTGTTTTCTTTAAATGAAGACCAAAGAAACAAACTTTCTTCTTCTTCTTCTTCTTCTTCTTCTTCTTCTTCTTCTTCTTCTTCTTCTTCTTCGTTAGTTTCTATGCTCTATTCTTGATTATCTTCTTATTCTTATTCTTCTTTAATACTCTATTTTATTTCCATTTGTGGATTTGTTTCCATGTCTGTTCTTGAACTTTCTTTTCCATCCCCAGTTCCAAATTCTTTTCCACTTCTTCTTGATTAACAACAAAGCATTTTTAGGTGGCACACAAGTGCTCACCGTAGCTTCATCGATAGTCCCCAAGACGTTGTCGTTTACAATATCCAAGTCTTGGAACACATGTCTTTTTGGTTGGGATTTTATTCAAAAACTAGTTTCGAAAACAAGAAATTTAGCAACAGAAGACTTGATCATTTTTTAATAGCATAAAAAAGTTAAACCCACCAAAGATCTTCTTGCAAAGTTTGGAAAGAAAACAAACATAACCATAGAAGAAGAAAAAAAATACAACATTTGTAGTTCTTTGGATCATCTTGGGAGACTTGGAAGTTGTTGAAGAATGATGAACTTTAGAGACACCAACAAGAAGCCAACCTGATATAGATGTTAGTCTAAAACTCTTGACTTTTAAGTTTGAAGTTCATAACCAAAGTATGAACTTCAAAAGAGTGTAAAAGCAAGTAATATATTCATGAATTAAGAAGAAAATGAGAGAGAGTAACATGCCTTTTGTTCATGTTCAAGTTAAATAATGAAAGCTTCACTCTCATATATATATCATGTATAATATACATAGGTCTTTATCCATTAAACACCCATGCTTCTATTAGCTAGACTTGTTTCCCAAGCGTCTCATTACTTTTACATTAAATAAGTATAAGACCATGCTCTTCTTTTGAATAAACATTTGAAAGTATCATGTCTCTCATTAGTTTACATTAAATAAGTATAAGATCATACTCTTCTATTGAATAAACAATTGAAAGTACCATGTCTCTCATTACTTTACATTAAACTATCTTAAAAGTCATACTCTTCATTTTTTACTCTTATTTTATAAAATAATAAAAGAAAGAAGACAAAATCTTTATTTTTTTTAAACCAAGTTTATAAAATATAAACTTTAATTTTTGGTAAAAGACAATAAAAAAAACCATCTAGTTTAACATATTGTGTGTGACTTATTAATTCGGATCATATGAATTATATATAATGTTACTTGGTAATGAAAATTATTTTTTCTGTTGAAAATATTATGAATTAAAGTACAATCTTATATTTATTTTTATACGTATATATATACATATTGTATATAAGTGAATGCAGGTGTGAAAGGAAAAAGGTGCGGACCTAAAACTGGGTCGGGTTATTAGATCCATTTCTATGCAGGTGAGATATAAAAGAAGAGAGAGAGTGGGAAAAGATTCAGGGAGTCGATTTTTTCATAAACAAACAAGTTGCCTTAAAGCACTGTGAGGGTTTCTTGTTCCCTTTCTCTTGTTTGGTTATAGATGTACAAGATCTGGTACATCAGTTAGTTGTTGTCTGAAAATTGTTGTTGATTTTTTTGTCTTTGTTCACCTTGTGCTTTGGTTGTCTTGGGCCCCGACAAACTGTGGTGACCATCTGGACTTTAAGCCAACACAAGTGTTGTTTTTTGTTCTTTACCTGTTCGATTTTTTTCGTGTCTGTTTAATTGGTATTGTTTTGTGATTTGTTATGGCTGGAGATATACCTGAGGTAAGTGGTGTCCCTAAGGATTCTCCAGTTGACTTTGATGATCCCTTATACATACATCCATCTGATAATGCAGTCACTTCCATAATAACTATCAAATTGACTGGTAATGAAAATTTTCGTTTATGGCGTAGTGCAATGACTAGAGGCCTTAAAGCTAGAAATAAATTAGGTTTTGTGGATGGAACTATTGTTCTTGAAAAAACTGATGAAACAAAAAAATCTAAATGGGAACGTGTGAATGATGTTGTGTGTAATTGGTTATTAGGATCTATATCTGAAGCAATATATGCTAGTCATGTTTATTCTGATAATGCTAAAGATATTTGGGATGAGTTGTTTGAAACCTATAATAAGGTTGATGGTTCTGTAATTTTTAATATTCATCAGCAAATAAACACTTTAAAACAAAGTGGTTCGTCTCTTTCAGACTATTATAATAAACTTGATTCTTTATGGAAAGAGTTTGATGGCTTGACTAGTTTGTCTGAATGTGTTTGTGAGGCTGCAAATAAACTAAATGATCATTCTAAAATGATGAAATTAATGCAATTTTTAGGTGGTCTTGATGATGTATACAATCAAGTTAAAAGTCACATTCTTTTAATGGAACCATTACCTACTGTTAAAACTGCTTTCTCAATTCTCTCTAGAGAAGAGTCTCTTCAAAAGAATGGGTCTTTGAGTTCTGTTAGTTCTTCAAAACCTCAAGTGTCTGTTTTCAATAGTAAGGTTACTGATTTTAAAAGAGGTCAAGGTCAAAATAGATTCAGAAATCAAGGATTACAGTGTAAGCATTGTAATCTTAAAGGTCATACAATAGAAAAGTGTTTTAAATTGATTGGATATCCTAAGGATTTTAAACAAAGAAATGGAAATAATAATCAAAACAAATCTGCTTCTGTGAATTCTTCTTCTGTTGGTCCTAACAGCAGCTCTGTGGTTGCTTCTGAGTCTGGTTGTGGTAGTGAATGTCATTATCTTACTAGTGAACAATATTCAAAGTTTCTTCGTCTCATAAATGAGAGTTCTGGTAGTGAGGATGTACCTGCTGCTGCAAATATGGCAGGTACAACAACATATTGTTTTAACTCTTGTGTTATTCCAAATAAATCTCAAAGTTGGATTGTTGATTCTGGAGCAAATCAACATATGATAGGCTCAGAATCACAACTTCAAGACACTGTGGATGTGTCTAGACTAAATCTACTTGTAAAACACCCAAATGGTTCTTCTGCAAAAATAAATAAGATTGGGAATGTTCAACTGTCTTCTAATCTTACTTTATTTGATGTTTTTGTTGTGCCAGACTTTAGTGTTAACCTTTTGTCTGTACATAAATTGTGTAAGGATAATGGATGTGAAGTTGTTTTCTCTGAACATAATTGTAAAATTCAGGATTCTCTATCAAAGAAGATGGTGGAGAATGGTAGAGAATCTGGGGGGTTATATTATCTAGATCATGTTCCCTCAGGTAATTCAGTAAATCTAACTAATTCTAAGTGTTGTGTTTCGAAGCTAACTTGGCATAGTAGATTAGGTCATCCAGCTAATCAGGCTTTAAATATTTTGAAAGATAAATTGAATCTAGGAAATGATTCTCTTCCTCCTTGTGAAGTCTGACATAGGGCTAAATAGACTAGGGATTCTTTCTCTCCTAGTCAACATAGTTCAACTCAATTGGGTGAACTAATTCACTTAGATGTTTGGGGTCCCTATAGACTATCCTCTGTAGAAGGGTTCAAGTTTTTTCTGACTATTGTGGATGATTTCTCAAGGGCTACTTGGGTTTTTCTTTTAAAATCTAAAAGTGAAGTTTTTGATTGCTTTAAGACCTTTGTGAATATTTTACTAAATCAGTTTAATGTTAGTATTAAGGTTGTGAGGTCTGATAATGGTACTGAG